TGCTTGTGAGGCAGTTGGTGGAACCACTGAGCTAAGTTCCTGGCCCTAGTTCCTAGTTTTGTTATCAAGATGTTTCTCCAAACATTTTGTCCCGATTCAGAGTGTTTTTCTTCCCCTAAAGCATTTGAGGGAGAGATGAAGGCGGTAAGGGAGACTCTTGGTTAATAATACTGCAAAGTAGGGCCAGAGATTTAGCTCAGTGGTGCCACCGCCTACCCCACAAGCGCAAGGTCCTGAGTTCAATACCTGGTACCAAAAGAAAAAAAATACTGTCAAAGTAATATCCTGCCAAGCTATTTGGAGAGTCTGAGATAATTTCTGCCTCCCTTGTTTGTTTGTTTGTTTGTTTGTGGTGGCTGCTGGATTTCTTACTTGGAAAGGACTCCTTGAGTGAGACTTCGAATGTAGTCTATCCCTGCGCACTGCAGCTGGGGGATGCGTGTCGTAATTCAAAACCAGTTGCGTACTCTGTTCGGTGCTCTTCACCAGAGGCAGAGCTGGGCATACTAAATTTCATTCTGGCTGCAGCTAGAGAGAAGCACTTGGGTCTGGACTTCTGATGATGTTCAGGGAGATTTCTGGCCACAGAAGGAAGCTGAATCAGGGTACCTGGAGGCTGTCTGGGCCAAAGGAGGGGAAAATTCCATGGCTGAAGCATCCCTGACAGACAGGGGAGAAGTTATTGTCAATACTCAGTTTTACAGAACTTAAAACAGGAGCTCGCTAAGATGGCCCGACAAGGCCACCAGCCAGCGAGGTGAGTCACTGCTCACAGTGCAGCCTCTTGGTACCTTGCTTCACTTGGCTGTGTTTTCCAGAAATGCTGCTCTGCCCTGTACCTGCTTCAACGTCTTCCTCAAGTGGGGGACGTGAGATAGGAGCAGACAGACCTTTCCCAAATGTGTCTGGACATGGGCTCTCTTCTGATGGAAGCCTCGGCCTGAGGGAGTTTGCACTTTCAACACCTTATAGAAAACTTTAGGCCCTGGCCAAGATGTGTATTCCTAACACATGTGCCTGGTTTCGTCTTAATTACTCCCACTGAAACAATTTCCCCATCAGCAGGATTTCTCTGCAGCCACGCCCATTTGAATCCCTCTGATAATTCTCACACTTGTTCTGAGATCAAGGAATCAGCTACAATTCAGTGGGGAAGGGCCGAGGAAATATTAGTCCGTGAATTTGTCCTTCGTCGCACCAAGGCAGAAGAGAAGCCACTAAGGTCAGAGAGTCGCTTAGCAGAATTTTCTGAAGCCAGATAATTCCCATCACTACTTCACATGTTGGAGTCCTGGAAAGAAGGCTGGAGATTTTAAGTAAGGTGTGTCATTCCGGGGCTGGGGCTTTAGCTCAGTGGTGCTGCTGCCTGCCTCACAGGTACAAGGTCCTGAGTTCGATCCCCAGTACCAAAAGAAAACAAAAAAACACAAAATTTTACGGGAGTGTGTGTGCTTGTGATGTCGAGGGGTCTGTGGACAAGGGTGAGAAAATACAGAAACCCAGGGGCAGTCGTGAAGGTGCAGAAGTAGGTTTTGACCACACGTGACATCCCATCGCGCTCCACGGATCCTTCAGGGACAGGAAGCAGAGACAGAAGTTCACAGAGGACACCGAGAAACGCGACATGGAAATGGGTGTGGGCTGCAGAGGGAGGCTGCTCTCGTGCTCTGGGACTTCCTCAGTGGGACGAGAGGAGACGGTGCTCAGGCATCTGTTCTCTAAGTAGATGGGCCTCCTCAGACTCAAATCGACAGAAATAACCCTGAGCCTCAACTGTGGCCTACAAAGAAAAACAGAACATTTAAACCCTCAGAAGATTTGAAAGAGAGAACCGGGCAGTGGCTCCGTGATATGACAGAACACTTGCTTAGCACGAGTGCAAGGGCCTGCGTTTGATTCCCGGCACAGAGGGACGGAGGGAGGGAGGTAGAAGGGAAGGGAAGGGAAGGCTGGAAGGCTAATACAATGCACACCTCCATACCCTTCCTTACGTTTGCCACAAAACTTTTCCCTACGTGTTCCGGGACGTCGTGTTCTCACCCTTTTCTTTCGGCCAAATTCCAGTCTTGTTTATAAGCAGATTTCACATGTCCGAGTGGCCTCCCAAAGCCAGCCTGCCCTTTCTTCCCATTCCGCAGCGCCCTGGAGGTGTAACGGTCACCTCCGCCGTGCAGCTTTTCTGAGCAGTCACCCTCTCCCCTCTGGCCCCGCACGGTCCCCACCCCATAAACCGCCACATTTCCGTGCTTTCCCTCCTGGTTTCTCTCCAACTACCTGAACTCTGCCAATGCTCATCAAGATTTGCTAAGTGGTGAGACGGAGGAGGAAGAGTGGAAAGATGAAAAGGAGGTGGAGGAGGCTGTTTTTGAATTACCAGACACGGTTCGCCAGCGAAAGGCCTGTTCCTTCACCTGAAGGCCCACCTCCCCTCACAGCACGCTGCGCCAACGAGGCCCCCAGAAACACTTTCGTCCCTGGCATCTCTGCTGCCTTGTCTCCGGAGAGTTCAGCAAACCAGGGCCGGCAGCTCGGCTCCACGGGCCGTTTCTGCTGAAGGTCTCGGACGGGGTCAGCACCACCACCCCTGACCAGCCGTGCGCACACAGCCCCCACCTGAGAACCACGCCGTCCTCACGCCTGCCTGCAAGGTGGGCGTTACTCCCACGGCACCGACGAGTGTGGGAACGCCCGGTGAGGCCTTGCGCGGGCGCAGCCACACCTGCACCCGGAGGCCTTGCCACATAGCCCAGGGTAGAGACTGAGGCCACAGGGGCGAAGTAACAGGGTCACAACCGCCAGGGTCGGGCTGGGCCTGCGCAGGCCGGGGGGACCACAGCCCGCAGCTGCTGCCTCCGAGTTTCACTCTTCCAGGTTAAATAAATTTAGGGTAAAATTGCACACAGGGCAAAGAAAACCTGAAGCGGGAGTGAGCACGATGAAAAGAATAATCGCCACCAGGGGAGCTGGAAGACACCTTGCCACGGGCGCGGAAGTGACTGCTGCCCGTCTTTTGTTTCTGATTACAGAAAGAAAATGGCCTAAACTGAGAAAAAAGAAATGAAGACCCATTTCAACTGTTCACGATAAAGACGGAACTCAGAAGCGACGCGACTGTATGGCGAGTGTATCTCTGACATCCTAAGAAGCTGCCAACACAGTGGCCTAAGGAAGGGGAGACGCGAGGCTTCTTAGGGAGGTGGGTGCCCCTGAGGCCACGACCTTCAGAGGAGTAAACCGGACACACAAGTTTCCTCGTAGCACGGTTTCTCTCAGGTGAGAAAACTCAAAATACAAACAAGGTGCAAAATAAGACAGCTCATAGGCAACAGGGAGACAGAATTTTTGCAAACACGAAGGGGACCGAGGGGAGAGAGAGGAGAGGAAGGCGGTGCAAAAGAATGGAGATGTGCCGTGCACATGTTCCGAGTCCCGTGGCGAGTGGGCTGATGAAAGATACAGACCGCAAAGCTGCACAAGCAAACGCAACCAATGAAAAGGGAGTTTACGCAGAAGCGGCATCTCTGCTTATTATCCCCACAAGTGCTCCAGTTTCCTGTATCTTTGCCCATCCCGGACATGTCAGTCTTTCTTGCATTAATCATTCTCATAACTGTAAAATGTTCCATAAATTTACACTGTGCTGTGACATACATTACTGCAAATTGAATGGAAATTTCCCCAGTATTAAGCGATGGTGAACATCATTCAAGGTGCTTATTTTGTACACCTGTATCTTCGTATTGAAGGATCTCTTAGGTCATCTGTCCTTTTTAAATTGGGTTGTTTTCTTATTAATGAGTTTTAACAGTTACAGAAATTCCACCCCTAGCTATTTACACAGAGAAATGAAAATGTATGTCCACACCAAAACCGGTACTTGACTATTCTTAGCAGCTTTTTATGCAATGGTTAAAAAACTAAAATTAACCCTAGTGTTCACTGTCAAGTGAATGCATAGATAAAGTATGGTATAGTCACATAATAAAAAAGAACAAAACAGCAGTTACACACAAAACTATAGAGGTATTTCGCCTGTGAAAGAGGTCAGACAGAAAAACAAGGTAAGATTTCACATATAAAAAATTCTAGAAAATAAAAATTGTATGAGCAGAAATCAGATCAGTGGTTGTCTGAGGAAGGAGATGTCAAAGGGACAAATTATAAAGGGTCACACAGTCACCTTTGGGAGGATAAGTACGTTCACTTTCCTAACTATACTGATGGTGTCAGAGCATGTATCTACGTTGAAATATATCAAAGTGTACACTCCAAATATGTTATGTCAGTTATGTCAATGCTGTCTCAATTTAAAAACACTAATTTTAAGAAGGAAATTAAAACAATGAAGAGGAGAGAAGGTCAGAGTGTTGCGTTGGTTTCCATAGCTAAAGAGCCACTCGCCACCCAGGGGTTTGGAATATAAAGCGATCCAAAGTAAAACCAGAAACAATGAAGGCCCCTTAAGGAATAATAGAGATTCAGAAAAGAATTGTATGGCTCTTAATTTTAATAATTTTTTCTCCTGTACTGAGGATTGAACCTAGGGCCATACCCATCTAAAATTTTCTAATTTTTTAGTGAATAGAATTTGTAGTTTAAAAGGGGGCCATGGGAATACTTCTGTGGAACTCATTGCAAGAGGCATCACACCGCATATAGACGTTCTCCAGCCATGTAAATGGAGTTTGGAGTCTGAGGGACAGGGGACTCACTCCTGGGAAACACGAGCTGTTGTGGTGGCACCCAGTGGGCGCCGTTTATCCCCTCAAAACCCAGCTCCACTGTTATATCAGTCACGCCCCAAACAGTCCCCGCCCCAGTATTTAACATTCTGCTGTGTTTCTCGAGGACTCAGAACTTCTGTGCTTAGAGCGTGACGTGGATACATTTCCAAAACTATTGGATTTCACAGCAGAGAAAACAGTGAAATGCCTGCTTGTTTGGACACATGAGCAGTGGCCTTGGACGAGTCATCTCCTAAGGAGATGTTGAGAATTTGCAGGCCTAACACTGGACTCTATTAGCCTCAATCTGTGATGGGACAGTGGCCGCTTCCTGAAATAACACTCTCAACTTTTCCCAAGACATACAAGGAAGAGGAGATGTGATTCCATGGAATTGGGAAATTACACCAGAGTGAAAGAGTTCATATTTCTGGGGATCACTCAGTCCCGAGAGCTGAGCTGGGTCTTATTTCTGCTTTTGTCTTCGGTGTACATCACGACCCTGCTGGGAAACCTCCTCATCATGGTCACCGTGACCTGCGACTCCCGCCTCCACACCCCCATGTACTTCCTGCTCCGGAACCTCTCCGTTCTTGACATCTGCTTCTCCTCCATCACGGTTCCCAAGGTCTTGGTGGATCTTTTGTCAAAGAAAAAGACCATCTCCTATGTAGGCTGCATGACCCAGATGTTTTTCTTCCACCTCCTTGGTGGGGCGGACATCTTTTCTCTCTCTGTCATGGCCTTGGATCGCTACGTGGCCATCTCCAGGCCCCTGCACTACGTGACCATCATGAGCAGGGGGCGCTGCGCGGCCCTCATCGCGACCTCCTGGCTGGGCGGCTTTCTCCACTCCATCGTGCAGATTTCCCTCTTGCTCCCTCTCCCCTTCTGCGGGCCCAACGTCCTTGACACTTTCTACTGCGATGTCCCGCAGGTCCTCAAGCTGGCCTGCACTGACACCTTTGCTCTGGAGATCCTGATGATTTCCAACAATGGCCTGGTCAGTACTTTCTGGTTTTTCCTTCTCCTTGTGTCCTACATGGTCATCCTGGCTATGCTGAGGTCTCACACGGGCGAGGGCAGGAGGAAGGCCATCTCCACCTGCACCGCCCACATCACAGTGGTGACCCTGCACTTTGTACCCTGCATCTACGTCTATGCCCGGCCCTTCACCGCCCTCCCCATGGATAAGCCCATCCATGTGACCTTCACGGTCATCTCCCCGCTGCTGAACCCCGTGATCTACACCCTGCGGAACCAGGAAATGAAGGCAGCCATGCAGAGACTGCAGGGGAGACTTGTCCCTTCTGAGAGGGAATAGAGAAAGAACCCCAGATCTTCATCCAGGGGCTCATTCTACTGTGTTCTCTGAACGTTCTTATACCCACATGCATTGTCAATGAACCAACCGCCCTTTCTGAGGACCCATTCACTTTGCTGTTTAAATTAATAAGTAACTGATCGGCCAGGCTTCTGCTCTGCACTAAGTAGCTAGTTTTACAGTGTTGAGCTGATTGATGTATTTTCACTCAGAGACCAAAGGAATGATATGTCAGCCAGGACAATGATATTATTAATAGTTCCACTCTTCTTTCGGGAGATAAAGAAACAAAAGCCCAAAGAGAAAAGATGATTCACCCAAGGCCTTAACGTAGCTCATTACAGAGACACCTTCGAGGTACAACCCACTGTTTTGGTGTACATCACGACCCTGCTGGGAAACCTCCTCATCATGGTCACCGTGACCTGCGACTCCCGCCTCCACACCCCCATGTACTTCCTGCTCCGGAACCTCTCCGTTCTTGACATCTGCTTCTCCTCCATCACGGCTCCCAAGGTCCTGATCGACCTTCTGTCAGAGAGAAAGGCCATCTCCTTCAATGGTTGCATCACCCAGATGTTTTTCTTCCACCTCCTTGGTGGGGCAGACGTACCCCCATGTACTTCCTGCTCCGGAACCTCTCCGTTCTTGACATCTGCTTCTCCTCCATCACGGTTCCCAAGGTCTTGGTGGATCTTTTGTCAAAGAAAAAGACCATCTCCTATGTAGGCTGCATGACCCAGATGTTTTTCTTCCACCTCCTTGGTGGGGCGGACATCTTTTCTCTCTCTGTCATGGCCTTGGATCGCTACGTGGCCATCTCCAGGCCCCTGCACTACGTGACCATCATGAGCAGGGGGCGCTGCGCGGCCCTCATCGCGACCTCCTGGCTGGGTGGCTTTGTCCACTCCATCGTGCAGATTTCCCTCTTGCTCCCTCTCCCCTTCTGTGGGCCCAACGTCCTTGACACTTTCTACTGCGATGTCCCCCAGGTCCTCAAGCTGGCCTGCACTGACACCTTTGCTCTGGAGATCCTGATGATTTCCAACAATGGCCTGGTCAGTTGGCTGATATTCTTCCTTCTCCTTGTGTCCTACGCGGTCATCCTGGCTATGCTGAGGTCTCACACGGGCGAGGGCAGGAGGAAGGCCATCTCCACCTGCACCGCCCACATCACAGTGGTGACCCTGCACTTTGTACCCTGCATCTACGTCTACGCCCGGCCCTTCACCGCCCTCCCCATGGATAAGCCCATCCATGTGACCTTCACGGTCATCTCCCCGCTGCTGAACCCCGTGATCTACACCCTGCGGAACCAGGAAATGAAGGCAGCCATGTGGAGACTGCAGGGGAGACTTGTCCCTTCTGAGAGGGAATAGAGAAAGAACCCCAGATCTTCATCCAGGGGCTCATTCTACTGTGTTCTCTGAACGTTCTTATACCCACATGCATTGTCAATGAACCAACCGCCCTTTCTGAGGACCCATTCACTTTGCTGTTTAAATTAATAAGTAACTGATCGGCCAGGCTTCTGCTCTGCACTAAGTAGCTAGTTTTACAGTGTTGAGCTGATTGATGTATTTTCACTCAGAGACCAAAGGAATGATATGTCAGCCAGGACAATGATATTATTAATAGTTCCACTCTTCTTTCGGGAGATAAAGAAACAAAAGCCCAAAGAGAAAAGATGATTCACCCAAGGCCTTAACGTAGCTCATTACAGAGACACCTTCGAGGTACAACCCACTGTTTTCTACCCCATGAACGTAACTTCTTTCCCTGTTGGGTCTGTCTACACCAGACTGTGATCCTGTTCTAGAAGGACCACATCATCCTTGCCTGCGAAGTAGGCATATCTGGGTGTGAACAGCTTATCATCGCAGCTTAAGGATTCACCTCTGCTTGGTTAAAGTCCACATAGACTCATGGGCTAAAGACCTTCCTAAGTGCATGGGATTCTTAGCAGGAATGACGAGGCTCGGAGAGTTCTCTCGTCGTGGCCTCAAGGCACTTGAGCGTAGGTGAAGGCAGAAGAGCTCCAGGGCCCCACCCTAGGGCAGTCTGTTCCTCCTGCCCACGCACCCGTTTGCTAGGTGAGGCCTTAGTAGGTCGAGCTCATAGATGCATATATATGGACGTGAACATAGACAGCCTCTCTCAGACTGCGAAATCTGCCTCTGCCCCACCATTGCAGCGAGAGAAAGTGGAGGAAAGGTGTTAAACAAGATAAACTCTACCCTATGTTTGTTGTCATCTGTGTTGGTACCGAGAAGCAAACTCAGGGTCTTACTCTTGCCATGCAAGAGCAGCACTGCCGAGCTACCTCCCTGGCCCATCTGCCCTACTTGGGAAATCGCTGGTATTTGTGAAATCCCCATACAGGCTGGGACAGCAGCAACACCTTTTCTCGTCTCACTAAGAGTCGCTTTCACCTGTACGGAGGTATTGGTAATATCCATCTCGTGGAGTTGTTGTAAGATTAAAATGCAACAGTGTATATAAAAATAAGGTGGGGCGAGGATTTAGCTCAGTGGTGCTGCCACCTGACTCTCAAGCGCAAGGTCCCGAGTTCAATCCCGGTACCAAAAAATTAAAACGTTTTAAATAAAAAATAAATAAAAATAAGGTATGTGGAAGATATTAAACACTCAGGAGAAGGCAAATGTCACTTTTATTTCTCCTTCTAGCACACTTCCTGTCCTCCATTGGCCTGTTATACCCTTCTCTTTTATGATCCCTACAACTTAAATTTTTTAAAGTGAAGTAGAAAACACAGGAATGCATATTGCATTAAAAACCTGTATCATCTTATCATAAGTTCTGGCTTTAAGCATCGTGATAGGTTTGCTTGTTGTTTGTAAAGCTTGAAGAGCCAGCGTGAGGGCTCTGCGCGCGCGTGTGTGTGTGTGTGTGTGTGTGTGTGTGTGTGTGGTTTGCGCACAAGCGCGGTGGGACGGAGGGGCGTGAGGGACAGAGGCTGGGGAGAAGCACTCGCACGTGGTAATGACTCCCCTGAGAGCTGCACCGAGCGGCCACTCCACTCCCACACTCGTCCCCACAGGCGTCTCTGCGCTAATCCTGCGCTGGGCTGCGCCTGAGGGACCAGCACAGGCGGCCGAGCCCCAGCGGTGTGAACCCCGAGCTCACTGCACCTGGTCGCCAGCCCTGAGGTAGCTTTACAGGAAGCGCGGCACGTCCTCAGGTCCTCCTGAGAGTGTGTGTTCGCGTGTGCACTTCGGAAACTGGGGAGCTGTCGCGTGGATTCTTCAGTAACGCTACAAGGTACAGAAGGTTCCTATCAAAGGCAGAAGTCTACGCAGCAGAGGAGAAAGCGCTCATTTTTCACTGTTGGGGAAAGGGAAAGGACAGCCCGCGAGATGGGAGGAAGGGCACTCTGTCCGGATGAGGGGAGCCTTTGGCTGTAGGATGCCGTCGCTCGGAGTGTTTTCAAGCGGGCAGAGGGGCTGCCTGCCCCGCTCTGGCGACAGCGGCTTCTGGGCGCTCCCTGCTTCCTGTGCCACGGGGTAGGAAGGACGCCGCTCAGCCCCGAGCTTCTGTGAACGTGTAGGGACTCGATCCACACTGAGGGGCTTCCACGCATGAAAAGAGAGGGTACACGGCAAGGGGGCAGCCTAGCAAAGCAGCTCAGCGCAGACGGGGAGGCAGCCCTGAGCCGGGGGCGTGGCGGCCGGCACCCCGAAGCCTGTGCGCTCTGCTCAGGGGGCCCCCCCGAGAGCTGCTTTAAGGCGCGGTCTCCTGCGGGGTGATTTCAGAAAGGAAGATCCGGGATCCTTGTGCCGACGGTGCCCAGACGCATGCAAGTGAGTTTCCTGGCCTTTCCCTGCCCCTCTTTTTACGCACTTGCATTTCAGTGCAGTGGGCACAGCCCCGTGCAGGGTGAGTCTCCTCACCTTCTAAAGTGGCACCACTCCGAGGGTCCCCCAGACCCGCCCTGACCCACCAGAGGCCCCGCTGGGGGCAGTGTCATTCTGATCGTTCCTGCACGTGGGCCCCGATCACTGTGAAGGTGCCCGTGCCGGCTGCAAAGTCTGGATTTTCAAACTCTGCTTTCTTTTGCCAAGTCTGACAGCCCACCCGGCTAAGCCGCTGTCAGCCACACCTCTCACTGCCACTTACCACTTCTAACACCAGCCTCTCAGCCCATGAACTGGGATGCAGTTGGCAAAAGATTTCCCCGAACCACCTTTTCTTTTGCAATCCTTTCTGGGAAGGCTGAGCCACCCCGAGAAGGAGGACGGGCACACTCGTCTTTGAAATAAAAAAGCAAATTTTAACTTGAGATAAGGTTCGACCAGATGTGAGACCTCACTCGAGTGACGGAATCACTTTCTCTCTTTCTGTTACCTCATTTACAAAATCAGGACAACAGCCAGGCATGATGGTGCACACACCTGTAATCCCAGCACTGGGGAGGCTGAGGCAGGAGGCTAACCACAAGTTTTGAGGCCAGCCTGGACTATATAGTGAGAAACTGTCCAAAAAATAAGATCAGGGTAACAATATCTATTTCCCATGGATATTATAGGTTTCAGAAGAGAGAAAATGAATCAGCTGGTACAGCATGTAAGAATCACTTCACAAACATGCAAAAAGAAAGCCAAAAAAAAAAACAAAAAGAAAGAAAGAAAGACGAAGACAGAAAGAAAAGCAGAAATCCATTTCTCTGCTCACATTTCTATAATGCTGAGAATTTCGGCCTAATGCCCCAGTGACAGGATTTCTCATTGACTATTACAGTTTATTTTCTTCTCTTTTTTTGGTACCGGGGATCGAACTCTGGACCTCCCACTTGCACCACTGAGCTAAATCCCTGGCCGTACAATTTATTTTCTTTCTGTAAATGTTTGTAATATGAATAGCTACATTTACAACTGCATAGAAAAATAAAATTATTTCATGTATGCTTATAAGCAGGTACGTGAGTACAAAGATTGTGGATTTTAGACACGGGTGGGCCTGGTGTCCAAGGAGGCACACAC